TTCTTACTGGTTGGTAGGTGATCAAATACTTATGTCATGCAATAAAATGCTAATTAATTACTTAAAAATCATACAATGTGATTTTATGGATTTTTGTTTTAGATTCTGTCTCTCACAGTTGAAGTGTACCCATGCTAAAAAATTACAGACCTCTACATGCTTTGTAAGTAGGAAAACCTGCAAAATCGGCAGTGTGTCAAATACTTGTTCTCCCCACTGTATATAAAAACATGGGGGATTGGAAGTGATGCATACAATTACATTGATGGATGTTACAATCTATCTGCAATATTAAGCTGATCTACCCCCCATAAAAAAAGAAAAAGAATTACAACATTTTTTGATTTGATGTCACCAGTACATGATTCCTGCCTACAGCCATAATCTAAACCCTAGATTGTGGATTAGGGTCTGAAACAACCCCCACACCAAACCAATATTTGAACCGGAATAATCATGGAAAGTGGACCAAACTGTCAGTGTTACATTTTACATTTTAGTCATTTAGCAGACACTCTTATCTAGAGCGACTTACAGTTAGTGAGTGCATACATTATTTTTTTATTTTTCATACTGGCCCCCCGTGGGAATTGCAAGGTGCTGGCCCTACTGTTGGAAAATGACCTTTATGCTAAGGCAGAGAAGTGTATGTTTTTTCAGCAGTCCGTGTCCTTCCTTGGATACCGCATTTCCACCTCAGGTGTGGAGATGGAGGGAGATTGCATTTCAGCCGTGTGTAATTGGCCGACTCCAACCACGGTTAAGGAGGTGCAGCGGTTCCTTGGCTTTGCCAACTACTATCGGAGGTTTATCAGGGGCTTTGGCAAGGTCGCAGCTCCCATTACCTCCCTGTTGAAGGGTGGGCCGTCCCGGCTCCGCTGGTCTGCTGAGGCTGACCTGGCCTTCAGCAAACTACGGGGTCTGTTCACCTCAGCCCCAGTACTGGCCCACCCCGATTCATCACTACCATTTGTAGTGGAGGTGGATGCGTCTGAGGTTGGGATAGGAGCTGTCCTGTCTCAACGCTCTGGTACGCCACCCAAGCTCCGCCCCTGTGCCTTCTTCTCTAAGAAGCTCAGCCCGGTGGAGCAGAACTACGACGTTGGTGATCGGGAGCTGTTGGCTGTTGTCCGAGCCTTGACCGTGTGGAGGAATTGGCTCGAAGGGGCGAAACACCCTTTCCTCGTCTGGACGGACCACCGTAACCTGGAGTACATCCGGGCAGCGAGGAGGCTGAATCCTCGCCAGGCCAGGTGGGCCCTATTCTTCACCCGGTTTGATTTTACACTATCATACATTCCGGGTACGAAGAACGTGAAGGCAGACGCACTGTCCCGGCTGTATCACACAGAGGAGAGGCCCAGAGACAACACCCCCATACTACCGGCCTCCTGCATTGTGGCGCCGGTAGTATGGGCGATGGACGCGGATATAGAGCAGGCATTACGCACAGATCCATCTCCACCTCAGTGTCCAGCTGGGCTACAGTACGTGCCTGCTCTTATCCGTGATCGTCTGATCTTCTGGGCACACACGTCACCCTCCTCTGGTCACCCAGGTATCGGCCGTACAATGCGCTGCTTGAGTGGAAAGTACTGGTGGCCTACCTTGGCTAAGGACGTGAGGGTGTACGTCTCCTCCTGCTCGGTGTGCGCCCAGAGTAAGGCCCCTAGGCACCTCCCAACGGGTAAGCTACAACCATTACCAGTTCCACAACGACCATGGTCTCATCTTAGTATTGATTTTCTGACTGATCTTCCCCTCTCCCAAGGTAACACCACCATCCTGGTCGTTGTGGATCGCTTCTCCAAGTTCTGCCGCCTCCTTCCTCTGCCCGGTCTCCCCACGGCCCTGCAGACTGCGGAGGCCCTGTTTACTCACGTCTTCTGGCACTACGGGGTGCCAGAGGATATCGTGTCCGACCGAGGTCCCCAGTTCATGTCCAAGGTTTGGAAGGCGTTCATGGAACATCTGGGGGTCTCGGTCAGCCTGACCTCTGGGTTCCACCCCGAGTCAAATGGGCAGGTGGAACGAGTAAATCAGGATGTGGGTAGGTTCCTGCGGTCCTACAGCCAGGACCGGCCGGGGGAGTGGTCGGTGCTCTTGCCATGGGCAGAATATGCCCAGAACTCTCTCCGCCACTCCTCTACTAACCTAACACCATTCCAATGTGTTTCAGGTTACCAACCGGTTCTGGCACCAGAGCCAGACCGAGGCTCCTGCGGTGGATGACTGGTTTCAGCGCGCGGAGGAGACTTGGGACGCTGCCCACGTTCACCTCCATTGTGCCGTGCTTCATCAGAAGGCCAATGCTGACCGTCACCGCAGTGAGGCCCCGGTTTTCGTACCGGGGGATCGGGTCTGGCTCTCGACACGGAATCTGCCCCTCAGGGGGTACTGTCACGACTTCGGCCGAGGCTGCCTCCCCTCCTTGTTCGGGCAGGCGTCGGCTTTCATCGTCACCGGAGTACTAACCACTGCCGCCCCAATCATCATCACAATTGTCTTGTCTCATTATCACACACCTGGTTCTAATCCCATAATTAGTCTGTGTATAAGTGTTCCCTCTGCCCGCTTGTCCTTGTGGGTGATTGTTTATTGTGAAGGTTAGTGAAGCTCGTTGGAGCTTGTGTATTTTGTTCGATGGGAGTATTTTCCTGTGTGCCTTGTATTTTCCAGTGCACCTGTTTTGTGCCCTGGAGTGTGTTTGACACATTTCTGCGTAAACCTGTATTTTGCGGATTAAAGCCTGTTATTCTGTGATTTACCCTCCTGCGCCTGAATCCTTCAACACCACCTCATCACAGTAGCTAGCTAATGGGGATCCTAATAAACTAAACTAAACCATCTCTTGATGTCGATCTACTCATGATGATTAATTATGTTGTTGTTTTTAAATTGCTTGTTTTTTGTTGTTGCTTTACAACGCTTTGATATTTATTTATGTAATGAATAGCACTATAAAAGTTTAATACATTTTTATATTATTATTAATAACATCAACAGAACCATGAATGGATTGAAGTTCATCATCATACACAAAGAAATCATTATGACATCATTGCTTTTGGAATTCCAATCATTTCTAGAACATTTGCAAAACCACAAGACCCATTCACTTGGCTAGGTTCTATTCAATGGTTCCATGGTCCATTTATTGTAAAAACATGAAGTCCTCACAAATGTTCTTAAGATAACCTTTTGTCTCTGAAAGGCTAAGGAAGAAAACAGGTAAGCGCTTTGAAGTATTTTTGTCAAACGTAGCACTATCATGACATTTATTTACATCCCATTTGATTTGCAGTAAATATGAATCAGGATTGCCATAGTGTGACAGCAGGACCCCATTCTATCTCTAACACCAGGTACTCAGTGGAGTCCTTCTCACGCTCAGGCAATAAGAGCAGCAGAACCCACTAGTATACTTGGCTCAAAACACCCTCACGCTCTCTGCCCTCCCCTGAAGCCAGCAGACATCTCCTACAGACACACAGTGAGGAAGGGAGGCAGTAGGTCAGTGGCGCCCAAGGAGCCGTCGGTCACGGACCACCTAGACTTCCGCTTCCTCAGAGCCTCCTCTGCCCTGGAGAAGTTCAATGGGGAGCTGCTGTATAAGTGTGCCAGCTGCCTGTGGTACTACCCCAGCCTGTCCTCTCTGCAGACACACATCACCCTGAGCTTTATGGAGGGCTTCAGCTGCAGGGTCTACTACAGGAAGCTGAAGGAGCTGCGCTGCAGGGATGACATGAAGAGGATCCAGGCAACAGAGAAGAAGAGCAGTGAGGAGACAGAGAAGAAGAGCAGTGAGGAGACAGAGAAGAAGAGCAGTGAGGAGACAGAGAAGAAGAGCAGTGAGGAGACAGAGAAGAAGAGCAGTGAGGAGACAGAGAAGAAGAGCAGCGAGGAGACAGAGAAGAAGAGCAGCGAGGAGACAGAGAAGAAGAGCAGTGAGGAGACAGAGAAGAAGAGCAGCGAGGAGACAGAGAAGAAGAGCAGTGAGGAAACAGAGAAGAAGAGCAGCGAGGAGACAGAGAAGAAGAGATTCAGAAGTGGCTCTCTGAGATAGAGGACCCCACTGACCATTACAGTCACTGAGATCATTATCCCTATTTTCAGATCATTACAGATTCATTTTCACGGTAACAAAACACAGCTATAGAAAATAAAATGTTTTCATGATCCCTGCTTCTTGTTTTTCTCAGAGTAAATACATGCTATTTCATAAAGGAATGAATGAGTATACTGATTGGTGTCTGGGATTTCAAACAGGTGGTTTTCTAACTCTGTCCATGGTGCTGAAGTTGGGTACATCCTGAGGTCAGTAGCACAACACCCTCAGATAAGTACAGAGTACGAGGGGAAGGCTAGTGTCTTTTTGGACAGATCTGTAAAAGGTCCTTCTACAACAACTATCACTAACAGAATAGCAGTATTTTCCAACTGTATGTGGTAGAGCTCATCTACTCAGACCTCTTTGCTCTACTGCCCTCTAGTGCATTTTATTGACATGTCTGGGTCATTCTTTCACTAAATGGCCCTGCTGGCCTGCATGTATTTTAAAATCCTAAATTGATTTGTATTCAGAATTTGTTTTTTGTCCAATATTTCCTTGATTTTTTTTCTGAAACCTTTTTCAACACATCCAGCAAATTTGAGCAAAAGAAAACTGTTAATCTTATCGCCAAACTTACAGTGTAATGTTTATTAATCTACCCAAGTGCTTCTTATGACAAACATATTCATTTTATTTCACATGCAAAGCAGGAGGCCCTCAAAGGCAGAAGGAAAACACAAAAAGTATAACATGCCCACCATATCTATCTTATTTCTTAAGGGTCTAATACATGACACTACAGGACAATGCATAGACATTTCAGTAACAGGGAGGTCTTTAAGAGCTTCAGAGGGCTTCAGTGAGCTTTACAGAGCTTTAGAGAGCTTCAGAGAGTGTCAGAGAGCATTACAGAGCTTTAGAGCGCTTCAGAAAGCTTTAGAGAGCTTCAGAGAGCTTTAGAGAGCTTTCTAGACAGACTCTGCATGACAACCCGTCTGGCCAGGTCACTGTACAGCGCCACTCGGTGGACACGACTATCCACAACGCGGTAATCAAACATGTTCGCCTGTCCCGTCACCAGCTGGCACACGCCCTCCTCATCAAAGCCCTCGCCCACAGTGACGGCCAGCAGCTGTGTGTTCTCTGCCAGGGCGGCGGCGGCGGCTCTGGGGATAGCAGCCCGGGCAGAGGCCACAGACCTGCCGTCTGTGAACACCACCACTTTCCTGGCAACAACGGAGCGGCCCTCCCTCTGGAGGGTGGAGGACAGGAATGCCAGGGCAGCCGGTAAGTCGGTGGCCCCGTCCATGTAGCGCGTAGCCGCTAGCCCCGTTTGGACATCTTCAACCCTGGCAGTGAAGGGCACCTCCACTCTCTGCTGCTGCCCATCGCTGTACTGCATGACAGACAGGCGGAGCAGCCCTCCCCGGTCCGAAGACAACAGCTTGGTGGCCATGCTCTCAACAAACTCTCTGGCTCTGTAGAAGTTGGCCTGGCCCACACTGGAGGAGCCGTCCAACATGAAGACTATGTCTGTAGCCTCCTGGAAGTTGGCTGGAGGAAGAGTGGACCATTTTAGGGCAACAATTGGGGTTCAGATAAATGTACATACATTCCATTAAATCTTTCAATTGCAGTACTAAATAAATAACGTATTGTAAGGCATAGGAAACTGTGACCATAAAAACAAGGGAGAGGAGCAGTCTTACCTGGACAGCTGTAATCAAGACATTTCTTATCTGTAAACACAACACAGACTTTAGTTGAGAGCAAAGGAACATAGCATGTAGCTAGCTCTTGATATTATAAATTAGGGCTAGCCTGTACATAGTCTACCTTGGCAGATATAGCCAGTAACGTTGTTGAAGAAGGAGTCCTCCAGCAGCTGCGCATGTTCTGTAATCTTCAGGTAGAGTCCAGGTGAGGCTGTGCCCAGACAGGTGATCTCCTCCAGCATGGTGGCGTAGGACGCCCGTCTGAAGATGTCTCCAATGCCAATGCCCACCACCTGAGGAGCCAAGATGGAGGACATACTGAGGCTTTGACACAAAATGGCTGACTTGGAGGAGCGAGAGATGGTTATCTTTATGTCTAATGAAATGGACCCTTAGTCCTGCATTCATCTCTTCACCCCCAACCTAAACATGTCCTTCAGCCCAATGCCCACTCTCCCCATCCCATTGCCCAGTCCCATTGCCATCCCTGACCATTATATTTGGCACAGAGCAGAGGGAGGACAGCGGTTTGGCGTCCCGGCGGGTGTCCGACCGTCCGTCCGTCAAGACTATGGCCACCTTTCGGTCCAGCTGGGAGCTGCCAAATGCCTGCCGGGCAAAATCCAGCGCCTCTCCCGTGTATGTACCACCCGGAATCCAGCGCATGTTTATCACCGCACTGCAAGTAGGGGGCATCAAACACAACAGTTAGTCAGTCAACTGATATCAGGTAACTGCTATACTTTGGACTTTTGACTATTATCTGGTTATGTTTTTAACCTTTTGAGCTGTGCTACTGTGGTGATCTTGGGGTCCTCCATAGATACCAGCTCCTGGGTGCCATCATGGCTGTACTGAACTACACCCACTCGTGATCCTAGCTCCTTCTGCAAACAGAAACACACACAGAGAAACACAATTTAGTTAAGGCCCCTCTCTCACCCAGGGAAGTCAGGACAAACGTTCACCCACCTTGTCTTTGCTGAACTTGGTAATCTTGTTGATGATTCGAATTATGAACTCTTTTTCCAGGGTGAAGTTCTGCAGCCCAAAGCTCTCTGAACAGTCCAGTACGAAGAGGAGCTTCACCGGACCACACTCGCACACTGTGAATGCCAGTTACATTATCATTATAATAATATCATGATATATTCTCAGCATCATACACCATATGAATAGTATAGATGAAGGATCTTAATTTGATCACTCTTTTGTTGCTGAGAATGTTTCTGCACAGCAGGAAATGCAAACTTGTAGTGTATTCAAGGTTTAAAAAGGCTTCTAATGTTTGTAATTTCCACTTTAAAATGTCAGACTTGATTTGCCCTAATTAAAAATGTATCTACCCCTACAAAAAATGCCCATTAACTATAATCCACATAATAATTCACATTCCCTGTTGCTGCAGGATTATTTTCCTGCTGTAGCAAACTGTCTCAATTTAAGATCCTACATCTGTATATCTATGTGACTATTTACAATACATACTGTGGATGTCAGTTGGTGTCTCTCAGAGTCTCTCGCTGGCATACAGAGTAAAATTGAATCTTGAAAATTTTAATTGAAGGTCATTTAAGGATGTAAAATAAATCCATGTGTAAATGTTAAGAGCTAAAACTTTGTATGGGTCCAGGAACTTACCACAGCACGCTACAAGAGAAAAACAAAGACATTACATCAAGATCCACCCTGACTGATGTCTTTGATCGCAGCCACATCATTTAAAAACACTTGCATTCTAAACATACACAACACTGAACTACAGAATTCTTATATCTACATTACATCCACAGCTACCGCCACAATGATGTGTCCCCCTGAGTGTGTGTGTGTATCTGCGTGTGCGTGTGTGTGTGTGTGAGTGAGTGTGTGTGTGTGTGTGTGTGTGTGTGAGTGAGTGTGTGTGTGTGTGTGTGTGTGTGTGTGTGTGTGTGTGTGCATGTGTGCCTTCCTGCCTGCGTGTGTGTGTGAGTGTTTGTGTGTGTGTCGTTTTGCATCTCTTTCACAAAGTTTGTCCCAAACTCAACCCAGGATAAATTATGCTTCAAAGGAACTGTTTAGCTAGGAAGATAAACTATGCATTAGTCGTATTTTAGCCTTTAAAGGAGACGTGTTCAGATGACTAGTGCAGGGGCATTTTCTAGCAGTTGAGGTAGGGACTGTGTTCAGTCTCACTGACACGTCTTCTAAATCTATGTTGAGTAAAGTTTTGTTTCACTACAAGAACATGTTCAGCACAGCACAATGTTCATCTGGAAAATAACCACTCCCTTCAAATTAAGGTATGACTGAATTTTGAGCACTTGATATACTTACAGCAGAGTTTCTGAATGACCTCCAGGATCTCACATTCCTGAGACAGATAAATGCATTACAGGGAGATTTAGGAGAATCTTGTGACTGTCCATTTCTGTGTATGTTTGTGTGTACATGCGTGTGTGTGTCTGTGACTGGTATCTAAGGGAGTGAAATATACACTGTCGTCATTCAGGGTAAGCAGTGTTGACTGCTGACCTGTTTGACACAAATCACTATGATAAGGTTTAGTACACATCCCCTGTGACTGAGGAACAGAGAGGTCACATTTTTTTTTTTTACCTCTGACCAACCTCATCAAACCAGCCCACCCCACACTCGCCCATCCCTACGAGCGCCAAACCCCAACCTTCCTTAACTCTTATTCCTGCACTCCCCCATTACACACAACCAGGGATGAAAAGCGGGTTTGACTTCTGCTCCTTCCCATCACCTACAATTGCTCCATTATTTAAGAGTTACTCACGTCTGCCCCCAGGTGGCCCACTGGGCCTGGTGATCCCTGTAGGGAAGGACAGGAAGCCATGAGTCAGATAGCATATTTGTATTGGTACTTAGTAGGTACTACTTAACATATTCATAAAGCATAGGTCATAATAAAGTTGAAAAATATGTCAACTATGTATTCAGAGCTGTAATGTCATAATATTTACTGTGAACTCAGTGTTGTTGTGGAACTTACATTCTCTCCTGTGAGACCAGGGTATCCTTTTGGCCCCCGGGGGCCTCCCCGCCCTGGCTGGTCGTTCTGTGGAATCAATATGGAAGGAGTATGAATGAGCACACAGGTATTAGCCATGCTAGGCTATAAAATGTATACCATACAGAGAGATTACAATGCACCTGGTTTGGCCCTTTGGTGGCAGTGGACAGTGCTGAACTCTTTGTGATCTAAGGTCAACTTACATCATCACCGCGATCACCTGGCAGGCCGACATCACCCTTCAGCCGGGGAATCCCCTGATACCCTATTAAAGAGAGAGAGAGAGAGAGAGAGAGAGAGAGAGAGAGAGAGAGAGAGAGAGAGAGAGAGAGAGAGAGAGAGAGAGAGAGAGAGAGAGAGAGAGAGACAGAGACAGAGACAGAGACAGAGGGAGGGAGAAGAAAGAGAGAGTAAAAACAAAACCCACAGTTTGACGACAAATGCCTCTTACAAAGGAAACTTCACACCAGTATGTTTCCAATATAATTGCACACATCAATCGCTTGCTTTGTTTTTTCATAATGTGTTTATTGATGAGCTGGGACTTTCCTGTTTATCATGTGAGAGAAATTAAAGAGAATTTCAGTGGAAGTTCTCAAGGAGTTCTCAGCAACTTCTTACCACTATCCATCAGTTTTTTAATTGTACATCTGCAACACATGCCTGAGGATGTATGTGGATATATGACTAGTCAGGGCGTTATGTGTCTTGAAGTGAAGTCCGGAACAAACACATATTTCTCTTGAATCATGTGGTTCTTTAAGTACCAGCAGGACAATATTAAAAATAACTTGAATCTCTCTTTGAAGCTTTGATTAAAAAGTTTTCAACACAGCTTGAGTAACTGGAGATATGTTTCACTTTATACATATGCCAGAGTCACAGCTTCCTCATTGACACTTATGCTATACAAATGCTATTTCCCCCCCCCCAACTGCCACTTACAAAGAAACGTCTAATTTCTCATCTTAGAAACTCTGGTCACATCTGGTCCCATCTGGTCAAGTGTTGTTTGGATGTCACAGAATTGTTATTTTAAAAGCATTACGTTCCATGGTATTTTTTTCTAGTCCTACAAATCCAAAGCCCTCACTCTGTCACTCAGAAACGTATTCCAGTGTCTACCTGCAATCTGAAAATCTTTACCAGTGTGTGTGCGTGTTTAGGCTACCTGCCACTCCCCCTCCAAAGCATAGCTACTGTACCGACATTACAAGCATGATTCAGAAGATAGGGAGAGAGATTTTTAATTAGCTAGAGAAGATTGGATTAACTTTTCCAATGCTAGTGTTGGTGAACACAAAATTAAAAGAGGAAGTACAAAACCAACGACGCTAGACAGAGAGGAATTTGCTTAAGCAAAAGGCAGTTTATTAAAACAGAGATAGCTGGTACTGTTCAAGCTACATGCATGGACCCATTCAATTGCCTCTTATGGAGACAGTTGAGAAGGGATGAATAAAAAAGAGTTTTCAGCATTACTTTATACAATCTAACATAAAGGAAGGGGTCCTTCTTCTAGTCCCTTGATTGGTTCCCGAGGCGTAGGAGGCGGGTCTGCTCTGTCCAGAGTAGAAGCCCCATTGGTGCACGGCAGAGTCCTCTGCCCTTGGCACCCGACCAGTAGACAGGGGAGTTGAGAATGAGTGTGCGTGCAGTGAAATGTCTGTGTGTGTCCAGGGAACTCGTTGAGGAGTATCTGTTGATCTATGGCCGGAGGTGGGGATGTTGTCCTATTATCGCATTCCTAGGCCATCTGGTGAGAAGATAAGGTGTTCTCTGTCCTTTTGTTCTCTGACCTGGAACAGCATTTATTGAAAACAGGCTCCAAATGGGTCTTACAGAACATTTTAGTCAGACCAATCTATAACAAATTATATTTACTACGACACTAGTCAAGGATTCTATAGGCCTAGTTATCACATTTCACATTGGATATATTAACTATAAAAAGGAAAGACGTGTTTTTAATTCTGGTGCCGCTCTGCACACACAAGCTTGTTAGCTAGCTAGCTCAAAGGACATTCAAAGTTCCTCCATAGAAGCCGCTCCTCCTAGGTATAATTCTGTGGACCTAATTCAGATAACACATGTCATAACAAGATGCCTAGCACTTCAAGCCTCCTCCTCAACCTTCTCTCACTGTCTCCCCACCCGCAAAATGTTAGTCGTCATAGGCTACACTTGTCCACCACTCATGTAAACAACTAGCTTGCCTGCACTATCCGCACTGATTGATGAAGTAATCTACTGAGCTAAACCGGTTCATAACTTTATTTTGCTGGTCGGAAGAGTGGAATGGAATGAAAATAATAGTGTTTCTGTTCAGAACGAAACGATTGGAAAATAATTTGGTACAAACCCTTGTCCAGACTAAAGTTACAAAAAAAGAATAATTGGGATTCAGCTTTACCTGAACTTAATCTTATGGAGTTACTATAGTGCTCTCACATACATACTGAAGCTCTTCAATTTTGTGGACCAAACGTAGGGCTACAACACTCTGAAGGATTCAGGGAAATTAGGCATTAGACTGTTAGCTTCCCTGCCAGTGACAGACAGCCCTAACTGGCAGCAGACTGTTCAGATTGTCAGCTTTAACACATATGGAATGTAAGAGTGTTGGGATTGACAGACGGACACCTGCAGGTGCCCTCAGACCAGGATATCCAGACAGACAGACAGACAGACGGACATTTAAACCTGCAGGTCCATTCAGACCAGGGTATCCAGACAGACAGACAGACAGACAGACAGACAGATAGACAGATAGACAGACAGACCTTTAAACCTGCAGGTCCCTCAGACCAGGGTACCCTTGTAAGAAGATGAAAGAAAAATCTGAAATAGGCAAATGAGGTCCCTGGA